TTTTACCCTATTCTGTTCCAGGGCATTTTGAGTATTTTAAAATGCATTTTTTTCATTTTCCTCACGAGTTACGTAGAAAACTCAATTTTGAGGGGGGTTTCTTCTTTGTATTTTTCCAGAAAATGCCATCTTGGCCCTCAAAAATCTATTTTTTTCTAAAAAATCATTGCTGCCAGGTTTTTGCCGACTTTAGTGCAAATGTACTTGGTACTATTCATCAATTTTTTTTTTTAAAAGTGTGACAACCGATCCAAAACTTTGGGGTGTCTTGTGGGTATATTTTAAGATTGTATTTTCAATTTAGGCAATTTAAAAACCTTCCGAAGCCCCATTTCTTTTCTTTGGGCAGTAGCTTGGAACGATTTTTGACCTCTAGACCTGATTTTCTTGAGGGTATTTTGGACATTTTGCAATGCATTTTTTTTTGTTTTCGTTTGCGATCGGGGTAGGACACTTGATTTTAGGGGGGGTTTCTTCTTTGAGGTTTTCCAGAAAAGGCCGTTTAGATGCCCGTTTTTACTCTCAGTTGCAGCAGTAGTGGGTTGACGGCACTGTAACTGTCACGGCCTTCGTCGGGCCGCCGCGACGTCGATTTTGTTTTTGACCATTCTCCCTCATTCGGACTCCAAATCAAGTGAATTTTTTTTTTAAATTGTTAATTTTTCATTTTCTATCCAACGGTGTGCTCGGTTGCATCCAGATATTTCTGAATAATTAACAGTTTACCCTTTTAGCTTTATTGCTCGTTTTTCTTTGTTTTGTTGTTTCTCCTTCGTCCGGAATCCGAATAATGAAATTCTTGAGTTTATCATGATTAGTTTTTCATTATCTTCCTAGTGGTGTGCTCGATAGCACTTGAATCCATTTTTTTATAAAATGACCTTTTTGCCCCTAGGTTCTTTTTTGTTCGTTTTTAAAACGACACTTCCGCATTTGTTTTCCTTTGGGTTCCATGACCTCATTGAGGGTCACATTGGTATCTTAGAGACGCATTGTATCATTAGAAACCGTTGTTTCACCTTTCGCTTCCGCATTTCGGATCCGTTATCAGGTCATCTTTTGGTCATCATTGACGCACCGGGTTTACAAAACTTGGGCCGTTACAATATCATTTCAGATTGTTCAAAAAATCAAAACCCATATCTTTCAGTTTCCATCTCCCGCTGCTCCAGTTCGGGTTCGCCGTTCGGCCACTGGCTCTCAACTCTCTTGCCCCCCTCTCTCTGCAACTGCTAACTTATATGTATACATGTCCTAAAATTAAGTATAATCTTGAGGGTAAAATTGGCATCACAAATGATACATCAGGTCTCACCTTCACTTTCCTTCCATTTCCTCTCATTTTTGGGAGGATAAGGAAATTACTGTTTCAACCTATAGATAACCTTCTAAAGCCTTCCCTTTCCTTTCATTTCCTTCCAACTATTTTTGTCAAACACAATTTTTTAATCACCTTCCCTTTCCTTTCCTCCCTTTTCCATTGCACCAAACTGACTCTTTAGTGGTTAGTATGATTTTGACCCTGTAATATTTTCGATTTTTGTCATTTTCCATTTTCTGGAATTTTTTCATTTTTTTAGAATATCGACTTATCTCATCTTGCGTGCTGGACACCGTAGGGTGTACCGGTGTGTCAGAGTGTTGATTTAGACATTTTCTTGAATTCATGACTCTTAAAAATGTATTGGTTGTCATTTCAACATTTTTTTGTTTTTTTGGACCGGGAGATCTCAGGTAGACCCACTACCGGAGTTATTATGCACGGGGGCTGTGTCATGGATCTATTGCATTTCATGCATTATTTTATTGTACATAATTATTTGAATGTATAATTATTATGTGGTGGGAAAATGATTGGTGTGTGTGTGTGTGTGTATATATATATATATATATATATATATATATATATATATATATATTTATTAACATTAAAAGTTAAAAAGATACGGAGTATTATTATATTGCATGGGACCCACCACCACCAATGACCATTCTTAATGACCCAATGGTCATCTTCAAACCATTCCTTCCCATTCCTTTTCAACCCACTTTCTGCCTCTCTCCGGTAAGTTCTTCTTCTTTGTTTTTTTTTCTTTTTTTCTTTTTTTCCTTTTTTTTTTTTTTTTCCCACTATTACAAGCTTAGATTTCTCTCATGCCACTTAGAATTTGATCTTGCCATAAAAGGCAAAGTCGGAAAACTCATCAAGGCTGGCGATTTGATTGGAGCCAATCTTCGTTTAGCCACCAATTAGGAATTCAAAAAAATTGGGCATTTTTAGGGCTTTTTCATCAATTTGAGATAGGGTTGTTCTAATCTATGACTTATTTAATTTTAGTGAATTTCTTCCCTTTTATTTGAATATAAGCATACTTAACTTAATTGTTTTGCCTATGTCTTTGAGGGTTTTGTGTTTAATTGTGTTCTATATGACTGAAATTACTTGTTTCTTGAAATGATATGAAGAAGCATGCTAAATTGGAAATTTATTGTTGCATTTTATGTGTATAAATTACTAAAATTTTATGTTTCTCAAAGCATGAAATGTTTCTACTATGTTCAATGAATTAGATTTGTATATGAGGGCATGATGTGATTAATTTCAAATGATGGAAATTATATATATTGGCATGATTGTATTAAGCATGATGCATTCATGCATTCTATTGGGAGAGAAAATGGAAAAATGTTTTCAAAAGCAAATGGAAATTACTTTGGAAAAATGTTTTGAAAAGGATTTGCGAAAACTCGGACGCCCAAGGAGGTGCCTAGTGGTCCGCGGCGTTAGTGTGGTCAAGAGAGGACTAGGGAGAGACCCTAGCGTGGTTGAGCTATTTAGGTTAGATACGACGCCTTGGAATTGCCTTGTGATCGTGGATAGTTAGCCAATCCTCCTCTCGTGACGCCTTGGGTCGGATTGCACTAATTGTTAGAAAGGTGAAACGGTATTGTTTCGGAAATGGGGAGCGACATTTCATGGCATGGTATATCATTAGCATATATAGCAGACTTGGTAGTCGGATGACTTGTGTATGTATTTGTGATATTATTACTGTTTTACTTGTTTCCTGAGGCATGATCTCGTTCATTTGTACTCTATTATTTATGTGGGTTCACGGGGTCGTAAGAAGTGTGTCTTAGACACTTCCTACTGAGCGGTTGGCTCACCCCATTACTTTAATATTTTCAGGACACGGGAAAGAGGTGACGGACGACGATTCACCACAAGATTAGACTGGATTGGAGATCTATATTTTGCTATTTTTTTTTAAATTGAACTTTAATATTTTGTAAATATGATCTTGACTATTTTGTAAAACTTTAGTTTAATTTGTATACTATTGTAAGTTATGAACTTTTAATTTTAGCTATATTTCATGAACTGTAACTTCATGTAATTAAAGTGCGTTCCTTGTAAAGAATTATGGGACTAGGTAGTGGACTTCTTGTTTTTTTTTATTGAACTTCAACAACAGATTGTTTATCTTTCAATTCTAACCCAATTTACATTATTGCAATGTATTTTCACTATTTTTAATTCAAGTTCAATACTTTCTTTTTAGCAGTTACTTTCTACTTTCATTACTTTCAAATACTGCATTGTAGTTTTATTACTTTCAAGTCCTGCAATGTAGTTTTCTTTCCCATTAGTCATAGAAATCTTTTCAAGTCCTTTTCACAAAAGACAAAAAGAACCCTAAAAGTGGTCATTCCGGCTTCTTATCAAATTGCCGGACCTCGCAATTTCTTACTGAAATATTGTTTGGTTCTCTTTTGGAACTACAACAATTCCTCCCACACCCGTTAGTTTTATTTGGAACTGAGTAATTTTACAAGCTAAGCACAAGTATTAAAAATCTAGTGATATTTCATTTATCTTTCAAAATAGACGGTAGATGTTCAAATCTCTATAAGATAAATAAGACTGTTTTTTTTGTCCCCCAAAAAGATATATATCCTAACATGGTTAACTGAATAATTCTGTAAAGTTCTAAATTATCTTATTAGTTTTTTGCCTTAGGTATCCTTTATCACTTTTTTGTTCCACCCATTGAGGTATTCGTCCTAAATCCTCCCATGTATGCATCATTACACATGAGATGGACGCTGCTTGTAGGACCCCACCCAGTAAATGATCTTCACACATCTGCATGCAAGATAGGATCATAATTCCTTAGTTTTCAAAGTATATTTTTATTTTCTTTTCAAATTCCTTTGTTTATATATGTATTTTTTTTTTTTTTTGAAAAAATATACTCTTAATAGAACTCCATCGTAACAAGAGCCAAAGTAATAGCATTACTCTTTTTTGTATGTTAATATTTTGGAGTAAATTAATTTCCTAAGAACTTTTGTTTGTGTTTTTTTTTTTTACATTAAATTTTTAATTTTTTTTTTTTAGGAGTAATTTAATCTAAAACTAACTCAAGATGACATTAATTTTTAGTATGAAAAATGGCCACAAGGGCAATCCAAATTTACCCAATTTTTAACCGAAATCTCAGCCCGAGTTGCAAACCTAATTTAAAATTTTAAAGATTGGTTGCGTTCAAGTTAAGTAGTTAAGGTTGAAGGTAGACCTGTCAACGGACCGGTTTAATGTTGTGTTGGAGGTTCTAGCAGATTGTAATTAGTAAGTTTGATTAATAATTTTTTTTATCTGTGCCAGGAAATAAAGTAAATAATAAGAAGTTCCAAGCCTTTACATTTGAAGAATGTGATTCTTACATCAAACATGTGCAAGAATTGTTAATCTACAATTTGAGAAAATAAGATATAATTAATGTTTCCGAACAAAAGAATTAGAGTCAATAGTGTTTAAAGCATCCATGGAAGTTTACAAAACAAAGCACAATATCAAATAGAATCATGAACAGCTAATATTGATAGAATCATGAACAGCTAATAATTTGACCACCACATTTGAGTCACACTCAAAAAAACTTTAGATAATCATTGACACCCTTTGCAAAAAACTCTTGCTGCCTATTGCAATAAAATCAGTAAACCTCAAGTCGGCAAGTCTTCGATCCCTTGGGTAGACTCGACAATATATTGCAAATTTTCGACTTCTGACCCGGAGCAGATCGTATTATCAATCTCTTCAAAACTTTAGCATTATTCAAGAAATACTCTGCCGTTTTCAGTTCATCACTCCTCCATAAAAAGTGCCTAATTTCAATTACCTTGAGGTGAAACAACAAACAAGATGGCACATTGCTCGGCGTATGCCAGCCAAATTGGTGTTTTACAAGGTAATCATCATCTCCATCATATACAAGTTCCTAACCAGAAAAAGAAACGTAAATATTCTCAATTATTATGTAATTTACACAAATAACTTTGAATTTAATCAAAACAAAGTAGTTTAATCAACTCGCTTAGCTCGTCACCTGACAAACAAGGGTTTCCAGTTGCGGTGCGCACTCAAGCAATTCAGGAAGCAATTCCCATCCAGCCTGGTCACAATAATTAAGCTCACCCAGCTTCAAATAAGTCAAATGACCGAAATTTGGGAGCGAGCACAATTTAAGTGCCTTCATGCAAAAAGAAAACCAAGTCAATAGATATCTAAAGGAAGTAACAGGATACATACAGTCTCAACGGTACATTTGAGCAACAAGACATAATGATTTAACAAAGGTAACCTCTATGGAGTCACCATCAAGATAAAGCCGCTGAACTTTAGATATTCCTCCGAGAAGTTTCGCTACATTAACTTCTTCTCCAGATTTATCAAATTCACGAACATTAATACCTCTTCCAAATTGGGTGCCCAACGCCAATTTGATGTCCGCCTCGACCAGAGAATTGAAGTTATTCATCCAATATCCTTCTGCTGCTACGTAGTCAAAGTATTTAAGATATCGAAGATTTGGTGTATCAAACACAATACTGTACGGTAATCTCATCCCAAAGGCTGGTATCAATAGTCAAACTCTTGAGTGCAAGAGCCGAAATGTTAAGGACATTAATATTTTCCCAACAACATCTAAACATCGTCAAATCCTCGAGCACTGGGCAGCTTGAAAACAGCCTCCCGGTTGAGTCGTCATCCAAAAACTTGACTGCATTGAGATGGAGGATTTTAAGGCTCCGGAGACAGACCAGACTTGGAACGTTGAGAACAAATGCACCCTCTAGTTTTAGCACCACTAGAGTATTACAAGTCCAAAGCTCATGAGGCAGTACCATTAAATGCCCAGCATTCCTAAGGAGGCTAATATCAAATTCACGAACATTACGTAAAATTGCAATAGAAACCCATTGATTAATATGCCAACTATCAAATATGTTATTACACGTCAGACGGAATTTATGCATATCTGAAACACTTTGTCGCAGTGCTCGATAGACAAAATTTATGAAACTTTTGACTGACTGATCACACATTTCAAATGCAGGTTTACATTCTAACCAATCATCAAAGTCAAAATTTGTGATTGATGTCCAATGATACTTCCATTGGGTCGATAAAACGCTAGTTTTCACTGCATCTTTTGTGGGAAGGAAGGAGAGGATTTGCCCAATTAGACTGCTTGGTAAATTGCTTATCTTGTCTTCTTCTTCACTTCTGATTTCGATATGCTTTTGACGTTCCGAAATAGAACCCATAACTTCTGTGATGGTGTATATGTCAACAAAATAAAAATAAATATGAACTTAGTGATAAAATAAATTTCTCAACAATTTGAAGAGTCTGTACACTAGTTATATTACTATGAGGCTTTTGAACTCGGTGATTTTACACAATGGTTAAGTACCCGCAAGCAACATTGATGTATATATGTAACTCTGTAATGGGTTTGCTTCTTTAATATAATTCACCTTGCTTTTTCAAAAATAAATAAATAAATAAAACAGTGTGATGTATATATGAGTGCATAAATTAATACTCGAAAAATTAATAATCTCTTTAAAATAATAAATTACGTCTGTCCAGATCTGGGCAAGGTATTAAATTAATTAATAATTTCGTTAAATTTATAAGATAATACATTTCAGAAATTTCCTTATAGGTTTCTATACGTCCCACTTATTAAATTAATTAATAATTTCAAAAATTCTCTTTGAGTGCATGTGGATGTTCTTCACATAATGCTTTATCTGTCATGGTTAATTTCTTAACTACAGTTTGTGTTCGATTCAATACATTGCATGCACTTGATTAAATGAGTACAATACATTGAATTCTACTTTATTAAATAGTAAGTACAATACATTTAATCTTTGGTTGACTAAATGTATCTTTAATTGATTAGACGAGTACAATACATTGAGTCTTTAGTTTATTAAATAGTAAATACAATACATTGAATCTTCAGTTGGTTAAATGTATTTTTAATTGATTGGATGAGTCCAATACATTGAATCTTAATTTATTAAATCAGTACATTGCATTGAATCTTTAAGACTATTCAGAAACCAAATGTTTAAAAAATAATAATAATAATACTGTACATAAAATATGCTATTAATTTATAAAGGTTATACTGTATTAGACACCTAATACATATTAAATTAACAGTCCCCAAATGCAAAAATCAGCTAGGGTTTAGGAAATCAGGAGAAGGATGAAAACGACAACCTAAATTAACATTCATGTATATATATGAGGGCTAGTGTGTGTGTGTGTATATATATTATACAAGATTTTCCAAAATATTTCCCTGCATAAAACACAAAAAAGTTTATTTTTTCGCACAAAATTGTTATTTTATTTTCAAATTTTCTATTATGCCCAATTGTTTCTCTATTTTTTTTTTTTACATAATAAATATAGCATGGTTATTAAATTCAAACTTAAAAAATATTTCAACAACTATTACATATTGGGACACATAATTTGATTATATCCAATAGGTCGTTACTTAAATTTTTTTGAAATAAATTAAGAGTTGAATGGTAGAATATTAAATAATATAATTTTTAATTTTTATCAATATCTCAATAGAAATATGAGAAGAGATTAATTTGAGTCATCATATTATTTATATGACATAACAATTTCACATGGAAATTAATATAATATTTATTTTTTACTATCTATACAGCTTTGAACGGCATAGAAGTGGTTCATATTCATAAAAAATATGAAAGGGGATTGATAAATTATGCATGAACCATAAAATTAGTATGCATGCATTATAAAATATATTACTTTTGCATGACAATTTTTTGGCATGACAATTTTTATTCTAGAATTGCCATTTAATGTTTCTTTGAGGGGGCTTAAAAAAATATATATTTAATAATTCAATAAAATATGAGTATGTTATCATAAATGAACTATATTCTACATATAAATATAAATAATTATTATTGAAAACACAAAATAAAAAAATTTGGCAACTAAAATGCAGTCCTCCTTAGTTTTTCTAATTTAAATATGAATATAAATAATAATAATAATTATTATTATTATTAATCTATTATTTTATGATAAAACATGAGTATGTTACAATTATATTCTACATATAAATATAAATAATTATTATTGAAAACAGAAAATAAAAAGAATCTGACAACTAAAATGCAGTCCACCTTAGATTGTCTAATTTAAATATGAATATAAATAATAATAATTATTATTATTAATCCATTATTTTACTATTTAATTGCTAAAAAATAATATAAATAATTGGGTATAAAATTGATTTATCCAACACAAAATTAATTTATTTTTTAATATTTGAAATCACGAGGGTAGTTTTGGTAAGTAAATCATTTTCTTTTCCCTTTCATACTATCCAAACAAATAAAATAATATTTTCCTACAACTTTCTTGAAATTTTTTCTTGCTAACCAAATGCATGCAGGAAACTTGATTTTCCTTTCTTTCACTTCACTTTCTTTTCTTTTCACTTTCCATCATAAATTTCCGTCTAACCAAACGGATCCTAAAAGAAAATAAAATCTGTTTCCAGACAGACTTTCCGCACAACTTCCCATAGGGTCCGTTTGGTTAGCGTCAAATAACCGGAAAAGAAAAGGAAAACAGTAAATTTTTTTTGAAGTTTGGTGAGGGAAAGTGAAAGTTTTAGGGAAAGTAAGATTCTCGCATCGTGCAAAAAACAAAGGGAAATTCACTTTCTCGGCAAAACTTGTGCACTTTATATATTACTTTCCTATTATACCCATATTAATTGTCTCTCTTCTTCTCTACTTAATTAGATAGACTTCTTTGAAAAGGAGAGTTTCTTTCTTCTGTAAATTGTTTCTTTATAAAATCATGTATTACTAATTAAATTGTTTGTATTTTTTATATGTGCATCCGAAGTTAATTAATTTTTTCCTTTTATTATTGAATTATTTTTTTTTCATTTTTTTTGAAATGTCGCAAAAAAAATTTTCTATAATTGATAATGATTAAGAGTTATTATATATATATATAACTATTTGTTGATAACAAGAGTGTTAGATGAAAACTAGTTTACATTATCTTAACACAATTTGTTTCATACCTAACATCAAACATTATCTTGAAATAAATAATTAATGATTTGTAAATAGTTTACATAATCTGTCTGTGACTTTATTTTCTTAGTGAGAAAGTTGTAATTAGATATACCGTATCCAGTTACATCATTTACAAATAAATAATAAATAATAAAATTAAAACTAACATAAAGAGAAAATAAATACTTGAACTTTGATAGTCCACTCTACCAAAAACTTATTTTTCTTACTTAAAAAATAAAAAATCTAGAATTCAAGTTTACATAGGAACAAGTGAATATATATAGAAAGGTAGGAGAAAGCAAAAAAAATTGTATTATGATATCACATACTATTCTATTCCATATTTCACTATTTCCTTACTAAAATAAATAATTAAGTATAAATAATATTTATCAAACATAAATTTGTTTATTTTATTACTATTTAAAATTATTAGGGTATTTTCGGTAAATAGAATCATTTTTTTTTCCTTTTCATGCTATCCAAACTAATAAAATAATATTTTTTTACAACTTTTTTCAAAATATTTCCTGTTAACCAAATGCATGATAGAAACTTGATTTTCCTTTCTTTCACTTTCACTTTTCATAAAATTTTCTGTCTAACCAAACAGACCCATAGTGTTTATATGTATGTGAAACTGTTTTTAATATTTGTACATGTGCTAAAATGATTACTTTAAATAGTTTTAAATAAATAAATATTTTAATTAAATAAAATACAACTAAAAATAGTCTATATAATTTATCTACAACTACATGTGTATTAGTATTTTTTAGACTATATATTTGAATCTCTAATGATCAATCAAATATATAACCAAACAAAAGTGATTAATATGAAGTTGAAAATATTCGGTATATTTTGAGCATTGGCATCTACAATAAATTTCATATACAATTATTCATAATTCAATGAATGAGAAAATCAGTATAAATTTGAGGATTTGCAAATTGAATTCGAGGATTAATAAAATTGAATTTACAAATTGAAAAGATTTGCTCTCAAAACACCAATTCGGCCCGCAGCGAGAGTAACACCGAAGATTTGTGACTCAAGTTCTAATACATCCGAACTTTAACTATGATAAAAAAATAAAATAAAATAAAAAACCAGTATAATAGGAATATAAGTAACTAGAGGTCACCAATTGTAAATTAAGATGAATCTTAGAAACCTCTGCACACTATGAATCACATTTATGGACATGCGCACACACTAAAAACCCACTCAGAAATACAGGAATGAATTGTTTTCCATGATATTCCATTCTTAAAAAACACAAAATAAATTTATAAAAACACAAAATTCATAAATAAATTTATAAAAAAAAAATACTGTGTTTGTTCTGATTTATACCAGTCTCATCCTGCAAATACATTTTTCTTATACAAACATAAGTTACAAAAGATAAGAGAACCAGCTACACAATGCTTTGGGTGGTTCTCTGAGATCCTTTTATTATTGATATGCCTCTCTATATCTTGCACTGCAATGCTATACAATTCATAAGAATTCGAATCTAGACGAAACGTCATCGTTTTGTATTATTTCTTCAACAACATGCCACGAACGAACTAACCGTAAACCTTCTGGAGCTGGCTTTCTATTTCTTTAATCTACTACTCTTTGACAAAGCTTAGGTTCCTCAACTCTGCTACATAATTAGATGGCCCTGTTTAATCAGACAAAGTCCGGCTGGCCTGTTGATGTTAAACACCGATGCCACATGCGGCTGTTAGGGTCGACCACCCTCGGGTAAGAAATGACTTCAGGAATGGGAAGGTATACATAGTGGGTGTTGCATGTGCCTACCGTGATGCCGCTATATCCAGCAAATGCACCATGAACCTGCAAAAAGGCCAGGCATTATTTCATTTGGGTACCGAGCCCACTGCGAATGTACCAATACAAAAGGGGTGCATTATTCGTCATCCCAGAAACCTCCTTTAGGAAGGTGGCAATTGGAGAACACCCACCCTACTATACTAGGTTGTGTTTGCTTGGGCTTGCTTAGTACCGGCCAATGAATCAAGTTCAGAACATGACAAGCTCAAGGCAGACCTTGTTCACGAGCTAAACAGAAACTGAAGTGGGCTATTGTGGGAGCTAATATCTATTCAACATGCCATTATTAGTTCAAAGCTTCAAAAGAATATGATGCTTCAAGTTGCATTTCAAATGCCTTCATTTATTATGATTAACATATTAAAAAAACCATTAATCCCCCTCCCCCGCCCTTCTGTTTTTTTTTTTTTTGTTGTTTCCCCAACAAGGCTATTAGAGTACAGAACATCTGGTTGGGTGGGCGTATAAGTTAGTTGACAGAGATACAGTTATGAAGATGCAAGAAATTCGTTCCCTCTTTCTCTCTCTAGAATTCTTACACTTCAACCCAAAAAGATCCTCCCTCCTTTCCATTCCTTATCCTATTTATAGATATTTACAAGATATTTACAAGATATTGACTGATTGCTGGATCTGGGCCTATTCCTCCATAAGTCCTGGTCACCTTTGATGGGCTTACTCGCGTTCGGCCCATATGGCAGTGTCTTTATATGGGCCGACCCAGCTGTATGGACCGAATGTTGTGCTTGCAAGTCGGATCCGGCCCATGTCGTCCGGGGCCTCCTCAACTGCCCCCATAATTGCCCCTTATTTAATAAGGGGTAATTATTGATGGCGTCTCATCATGATGTTGACGGCTCGAGATAACCACGTGGGGGAATGGACGGTCAGATCCAGAATCAATGTTCCGGGGCTCGAGGAATTTCTCGCCTTCCCGACGCTTCGGCCCTCGGGCCCCCTCGCCTTTATAATGCTCTAGAATTCCACTTCACGTCCTTTTACCGTCTCCATCATCAGTCAAGTCTCTCTCTTTCTAGAACAGTGCTAAGCTTTTTCTGGTGAAATCCTTCAAGAGTCATTCTTCCAGCGATCTTGCAGTCCTCCGAGGTTAGTTTCGTTCTTTTTTCACTTTCGGCAGGCTTCCATTTACCCCCTTTTAGATTCTTCAAGCACTTCCACCATGGTTGTAGATCTGGATGTTCTTCGTATGAGACTTAGACTTCCTGACAACATCGAAGTTAGGGTTTGCCCTCAGGACGTTAACATTATGACCGGCGCCGGCCTCCTGCCCGGCGAAGTCTTATTCACGAACCTTCAATTGAATGTTGTTAGGTTCCCTCTGCACCCTTTCTTTAGTTATGTCTTCAATAGATTGGGGATATCCCCCCTGCAGGTCAACCCCAACTTCTTTAGAATCATATCTGTTATGCTCTTGTTGATGCGTGACAGAAATCTGGACCTTGACCTCATAGACCTTCTTCTGTGCTATAAGGTCAGTAAGATCCGTACTAACGAACCCTTCTACCACCTCTACCCGTTCGAGAAGATGTCCATATGTACGGACACAATAAAATCTGAGAAGGGTTGGAGGGATAGCATCGTGGGCATTAGTGGGGCTTGGTCTTCGCCGGCTGCAGAGGGTTACCCAATCCCGAGCGCCTTTGGTGTCTGTTCTGTCTCCTCCTATAAGAAATTCAAATCTCATAAACATGATTGCCCCTGCGATTCATGCGTTCCTCGTTTTTGCACTTTCTTATGCCGTTCCTTAGGAATACCTTGTGATGACTTGAGCTGTAGTGTTTGCAGGGATAGGAGTAACTACTTGAAGAAATACGTTCTGAACGATATTCCTTCCTGCTCAGATCTCCTCACTTCAGACAACCTCTTAGCGCTCTCATCACTCGGCTACAACATGAGCAGACTTCAGATTCCTTCTTTTGGCAGGAAGAAAAATACTCCCCCAGCCACTCCTGCTGCTGGGGCGACCTCCTCTCCAGCGTCAGCCTCTTCCTCAGCCACCATCTCTGACACTGTCCCGAGCACAGTGGCTATTAACTCTGTTGCCAGCGCCCCTGCTGCCAACCAGAGCGCGTCTCCCCAAGCTACCATAGCTCCTGCTGCTGCGGGGGGCGTTCGGGACAAAGAACGAGGCAAAAGGCCTCATCCTGACAGTGAAGTCGATCCTGAGGAGGAGCCTCTCATTAGAAGGACCCGGGTCTCCGGGCCGGGTGTTCTCTTGCACCGAGCGATCAGAGCTCCTGCTCCCTCTGGGCCTACTGCAGCTGGTGGCTCCGCTTCTGCTTCAGGCCCCCCTTCTATCCCCACCTTACCGCCATGGGCCCCTCGGTACACCCGAACGGATGGGACGTTCGTGAAACCGAACGAGACCATGCTGAAGGATGGCCAGACCGCCATGGCCTACTACAGGAGCATGTGGACTCCGAAGGACCTTGAGGCGGCAAAGGGCCTATCCCAGAAGGATGTGTTCAGCCGCTTTCCCCAATCTGCTATGGAGGTGACTTTTATTTTCTAACTCATGAATTCTCTCATATTATTTGGTCTTGCCTTCGCCCGACCTGACTATTGGCTTAACCGTTTTTAATGTGCACCTATGCAGACATTGTTCGGAATGATGGCCATGCAGAAGCAGGTGGAGATGGGGAACGCCAGGGCCCGTAAGTTTTCTGACAGCCTGGAGGTGGCTAATAAAGAAAACGACCTCCTCGCCATGAAGAATACCGAGGTACTGGCTCGGCTTGACAAAATCGAACAAGAGAGAGATGTCCTGAAGAAGGAGAATGACTCCCTTCAGGATGAGAAGGACGCCCTCCAGCTTGAAAAGAGCGTCTGGCAGACTGAGCGTGAATCAATTAGAGAAGAAAAGGCAGAACTCCAGCGCCTTCTGGCTGACGAACAGTCTGCTCGGATGGCTTTCGAGAAAAGAGCTCTGGACGAGCGTACCGCTCTGATCGATGCGATCAGCAGAGTGAGCGGTGGGATGCTGGCTCTTCACGCTCGGTTCTCAAGGGTCGGTGCTCTTAGGTATGCTCAAGGATTCCGGGAAGGTTTCGCCGACCGAGTTCCGGATGAGGGACAAACCAGTTCCACTCCAGATGAGGTCGACAAAGATCTAGGGATCGAACCTCTGGGGGTCTATGTCGACCCAGAGCCCACCGAAGCGGAGCGCATATTCGACGAGTGCCAGGACATTGCTTCCTCCAGGATCATCACAGCTCCTCCTACCGCTCTGCCTCTGACCGCTCCTCAATCGTCAATCGTGGTACCTTCCACAGCCACTGCTGACGCTGAGCCCCAGCCGAACGATTCAGTCATTCATCTTGATTCCCCACCTCGTGAAGGTGAGACGGCTGATGGGGCCCAGGAGGCGGGTCGGCACGACCAGGATGCTGTTGGTACTGAGGCGTCTAGCTAGGGCTCCTTTGGACTCTTCCATTCCATATCTTTTTGTAACGATGGACATCTCACTTTTGTAAACTCAATGCTCAATATCAATGAAATGACAGAACTCTTTTTCCTTATGTGTTGTGCTCTATTCAACTTATTTTCAATACATACATATCTTTTCTCTCTTTTCTTTTATATTAGCTTTGCCGTGTGTTTGTTTATGGCAAGTGCCTGGCGCTCGGCTAGAATGCCACTTGCCATTTGGCTTTAAATTTTTAGTTTTTAGCAGGCCGTTGGAAAAAAAGGTTATTATTTATTATTTTTTTTTTATAAATTTCAGTAACTTGCTCATTCATACGTATTTGATTGACAACAAACAACATCCAATTAAAGCCAAAACTTAGCTTTTATTGGTAGTACCTCTTCAGAGACGTGGCGTTCCAGGGCTTGCTGACCAACCTTCCCGCCATGGTTTCCAACGTATATGCCCCCTTGCCTATGACTTCTGCAATTCTGTATGGGCCTTCCCAGGGTGGCATCATTTTTTTGACCATCCCCACCTTTCTTTTCAGAACCAGATCGCCAGGGGTAAAATCCCTGTGTTTTACTCTTTTGTTGTGACTATTCGCCAATACTTGCTGATACGAAGCTAACCTTATAGCCGCTGTGTCCCTCCTTTCGTCTATCATATCGAGGTTCAATCTTAACATCTTGTCATTCTGATCTCGACTCCATGCTAAGCTTCTGATAGTGGGGACCAAATGCTCAACCGGTATAACTGCCTCGGTACCATACGCCATTGCAAACGGGCTCTCCCCAGTCGGCCGCCTTGGGGTGGTTCTGTAAGCCCATAGAACGTTCGGGAGTTCATCCAACCACTTCCCTTTATGATCTTCCAGCTTCTTCTTGATGCAGGCGAAAATGGTTCTGTTTGTGATTTCTGCTTGTCCGTTGGCCTGATGATGACTTACTGCAGCCAACTTCTGGTTGATTCCATACTCCTCCAGCAGCTTTCTTACTTGCCTGCTGTCGAGGTTTGTGCCATTGTCCATGACTATTGATCTGGGAACACCGAAACGGCAGATAATATTGTTCCAAATAAATCGTCTCACATGAGTCTGAGTCACGCTAGGATATGGTTCTGCTTCCACCCATTTAGTGAAGTAATCCGTGGCCAGTAACACATACTTGTTCTGAGCTCTCGCAGTTGGCAGAGGACCGACCACATCCATCCCCCATTGCGCGAAAGGCCATGGCGAGGCCATTACGTGCAATTCCTCAGGTGGTTGGTGGATCAATGGTCCATATCGTTGGCATTTATCGCACCTTCGAGAGAACTCCTCCGCATCTCTTGACATGTTTGGCCAGAAATACTCTTGTGTCATTGCTTTATGCGCTAACGATCGCCCCCCAGAATGATTGCCACACACACCCTCATGAATAGCTCGCAATACCTGCTGCGCCTCCGCGGGGGTGACACACTTCAAGTATGGGCCAGAGTAGGACCTTCTGTACAGCTGGCTACGCACGATGGCGTACTTTGCAGCATTCTTTTTGAGTCTCCTAGCTTCATCCTTCTGCATAGGCAAAACGCCATC